ACGCACACACGCACACACGCACACACGCACACACGCACACACGCACACACGCACACACGCACACACGCACACACTCACACACGCACACACGCACACACGCACACACGCACACACGCACACACGCACACACGCACACACGCACACACGCACACACCCACACACACGCACACCCACGCACACCCACGCACACACACACGCACACCCACGCACACACACACGCACACCCACGCACACACACGCCCACACACTCTTGAGAAGTGCTCCTCGAGCTTGGAGATTGCGCTGCCAGACCTGCGCCGCTTGCCTTGCGCAATCGCAAGCCAAATAGAATCTAGAACATCCGTCACCAAACCACAATTGCTTCCACCTCCGAGTCTTTCAAACCGTACGTACGTTTGCGAGTGCATCCGGCTGCCAAAGCACATGACATGCCTTCCGAGCAGCACCAGCTGATGCTCATCATGCTCGTGGGATTAGGTTCGAAAGCCAGAGCCAGCACCAGCTGATGCTCATGATGCTCGCGGGGTTGGGTTTGAAAGCCAGAGCCAGCACCAGCTGATGCTCATGATGCTCGCGGGATTGGGTTTGAGAGCCAGAGCAGCACCAGCTGATGCTCATGATGCTCGCGGGGTTTGGTTCGAAAGCCAGAGCCAGCACCAGCTGATGCTCATGATGCTCGCGGGGTTGGGTTTGAAAGCCAGAGCCAGCACCAGCTGATGCTCATGATGCTCGTGGGGTTGGGTTTGACAGCCAGAGCCAGCACCAGCTGATGCTCATGATGCTCGCGGGGTTGGGTTTGAAAGCCAGAGCCAGCACCAGCTGATGCTCATGATGCTCGCGGGATTGGGTTTGAGAGCCAGAGCAGCACCAGCTGATGCTCATGATGCTCGCGGAGTTTGGTTCGAAAGCCAGAGCCAGCATCAGCTGATGCTCATGATGCTCGCGGGGTTGGGTTTGAAAGCCAGAGCCAGCACCAGCTGATGCTCATGATGCTCGTGGGGTTGGGTTTGACAGCCAGAGCCAGCATGCTCATGCTGCTCTGTCTGGGTTGGATTTGAAAGCCAGAGCAGCACCAGCTGATGCTCATATGCTCGCGGGGTTGGAATTGGTAGCCAGAGCAGCACCAGCTGATGCTCATGATGCTGGGGAGTTTGGGTTTGGAAGCCAGAGCAGCACCAGCCGATGCTCATGATGCTCGGGAGTTTGGGTTTGAAAGTCAGAGCAGCACCAGCTGATGCTCATGATGCTCGGGAGTTCCAGAGCCAGCACCAGCTGATGCTCATGATGCTCGCGGGGTTGGGTCTAGAGGCCAGAGCAGCACCAGCTGATGCTCATGATGCTCGCGGGGTTGTGTTTGACATCCAAAGCCAGCACCAGCTGATGCTCATGATGCTCTCTGGGTTGGGTTTGAGCAGCACGAGCTGATGCTCATGATGCTCGCGGGGTTGGGTTTGACAGATGCTGGTGGGGTTGGGTTTGAAAGCCTGAAAAGCACCAACTGATGCTCATGATGCTCGCTGGGTTGGGTTTGAAAGCCAGAGCCAGCACCAGCTGATGCTCATGATGCTCGCGGGATTGGGTTCGAAAGCCAGAGCCAGCACCAGCTGATGCTCATGATGCTCGCGGGGTTGGGTTTGAAAGCCAGAGGCCGCACCAGCTGATGCTCATGATGCTCGCGGGATTGGGTTTGAGAGCCAGAGCAGCACCAGCTGATGCTCATGATGCTCGCGGGGTTGGGTTCGAAAGCCAGAGCCAGCACCAGCTGATGCTCATGATGCTCGCGGGGTTGGTTTTGAAAGCCAGAGCCAGCACCAGCTGATGCTCATGATGCTCGCGGGGTTGGGTGAAAGACAGAGCCAGCACCAGCCCCAGCTGATGCTCATGATGCTCGCGGGGTTGGGTTTGAAAGCCAGAGCCAGCACCAGCTGATACTCATGATGCTCGCGGGGTTGATGCTCATGATGCTCGTGGGGTTGGGTTCGAAAGCCAGAGCCAGCACCAGCTGATGCTCATGATGCTCGCGGGGTTGGGTTCGAAAGCCAGAGCCAGCACCAGCTGATGCTTTTGATGCTCGGTTCGAACAGCCAAAGCCAGCACCAGCGCTGCCCAGCCTCCTCGTCCTCCTCCCGGACACGCCCGCAGCGGCGTTGCCTGGCACGTCGGCAGGCCCAGGCGGACATTCGGGCGGCCGTTCCGTTTCGCTTGCATGTCCGCCACCAAGGCCTGTGCGCCGGCGGTCGCGGCGCCCCCACCTTATACCCTTCCAAAAGCGCGGCTTGTGCCGCTGCCGGCACGTAAGCGTCAGAGTCGGCGCTTAGGACCAGCGCCGCGGCCAAAGGGAGGGGCGCGGCCGGCAGCCGTGCCAGCCCTCGCGCCAGGCACTGAGGCGACTTACGCCGCCCTTACAGACCCGGCACGCCGGCCGGCCCGTCCTCGTTCTGCGATCCGCGAAGACGTCCTATTACACGTGCCAACAGACCCCCCTTTATTCTCGCACCCAAAGAGGTGGCGGCTGCTCTTCGCGAAGCGCGTCGTGGAGGGGCGCCGGGCTTGTCGGGAATGTGGGCAGATCATTTGAAGCTGCTGCTGCAAGACATCCCGGCGCAGGAACTTTTGGCCTACGCTGCAACCCTCTTGGCGCGAGCGCAGGTGCCCGAGGAGGCTGCGAGCGCGGTGGCAATGGCGCGGCTTACGGCGCTTGCCAAGCCGGATGGCGGAGTACGGGGGATAGCGACCGGGGACACCTTTCGCCGCCTGGGACTGCGGCGTCCGACATGCAAGGTTGGGTTTTCGAGATGCAAAGCGCGCGCCCGAGATGCATGGCACCAAGCCGTTTGCATCTCGAAAACCCAACCTTGCATGTCGGACCAGGATTCCATTATCCAGAGAAAATTCCTCCCTGTCTCTTTACTTTTAATAGGATTTCCTCCACGGGCTCAGCAGTTTGCATCTCGAAAACCCACCTGTGCCGGTCCGACCCAGATTTTACTATTTCACTATTTTACTATTTTACTATTTTACTATTTTACTATTTTACTATTTTACTATTTTACTATTTTACTATTTTACTATTTTACTATTTTACTATTTTACTATTTACGATTTTACTATTTTACTATTTTACTATTTTACTATTTTACTATTTTACTAATTTTACTAATTTTACTAATTTTACGGGAAATAGGGAGTTTGCATCTCGAAAACCCAACCTTGCATGTCGGACCAGGATTCTATTATCCAGAGAAAATTTCTCCCTGTCTCTTTACTTTTAATAGGATTTCCTCCACGGGCTCAGCAGTTTGCATCTCGAAAACCCACCTGTGCCGGTCCGACCCAGATTTTACTATTTTACTATTTTACTATTTTACTATTTTACTATTTTGCTATTTTGCTATTTTACTATTTTACTATTTTGCTATTTTACTATTTTACTATTTTACTATTTTACTATTTTACTATTTTACTATTTTACTATTTTACTATTTTACTATTTTACTATTTTTACGGGAAATCTGGAGTTTGCATCTCGAAAACCCAACCTTGCATGTCGGACCAGGATTCTATTATCCAGAGAAAATTCCTCCCTGTCTCTTTACCTTTAATAGGATTTCCTCCACGGGCTCAGCAGTTTGCATCTCGAAAACCCACCTGTGCCGGTCCGACCCAGATTTTACTATTTTACTATTTACTATTTTACTATTTTACTAATTTTAAGGGAAATCGGGAGTTTGCATCTGGAAAACCCAACCTTGCATGTCGGACCAGGATTCTATTTCCAGAGAAAATTCCTCCCTGTCTCTTTACTTTTAATAGGATTTCCTCCACGGGCTCAGCAGTTTGCATCTCGAAAACCCACCTGTGCCGGTCCGACCCAGATTTTACTATTTTACTATTTTACTATTAATTTTTTTACGGGAAATCGGGAGTTTGCATCTCGAAAACCCAACCTTGCATGTCGGACCAGGATTCTATTATCCAGAGAAAATTCCTCCCTGTCTCTTTACTTTTAATAGGATTTCCTCCACGGGCTCAGCAGTTTGCACCTGTGCCGGTCCGACCCAGATTTTACTATTTTACTATTTTACTATTTTTACTAATTTTACGGGAAATCGGGAGTTTGCATCTCGAAAACCCAACCTTGCATGTCGGACCAGGATTCTATTATCCAGAGAAAATTCCTCCCTGTCTCTTTACTTTTAATAGGATGTCCTCCACGGGCTCAGCAGTTTGCATCTCGAAAACCCACCTGTGCCGGTCCGACCCAGATTTTACTATTTTACTATTTTACTATTAATTTTACTAATTTTACGGGAAATCGGGAGTTTGCATCTCGAAAACCCAACCTTGCATGTCGGACCAGGATTCTATTATCCAAAGAAAATTCCTCCCTGTCTCTTTACAAAAAATAGGATTTCCTCACGGGCTCAGCAGTTTGCATCTCGAAAACCCACCTGTGCCGGTCCGACCCAGATTTTGCTATTTTACTATTTTACTATTTTACTATGTTACTATTTTACTAATTTTACGGGAAATCGGGAGTTTGCATCTCGAAAACCCAACCTTGCATGTCGGACCAGGATTCTATTATCCAGAGAAAATTCCTCCCTGTCTCTTTACTTTTAATAGGATTTCCTCCACGGGCTCAGCAGTTTGCATCTCGAAAACCCACCTGTGCCGGTCCGACCCAGATTTTACTATTTTACTATTTTACTATTTTACTATTTTACTATTTTACTAATTTTACGGGAAATCGGGAGTTTGCATCTCGAAAACCCACCTGTGCCGGTTGGACCCAGAAATTGCCCTTTTCCTGATTTCGCGCGAAATCCAGAGAAAATTCTTCCCTCTCTCCTTACTTTTAATAGGATTTCCTCCACGGGCTCAGCCGTTTGCATCTCGAAAACCCACCTGTGCCGGTCCGACCCAGATTTTACTATTTTACTATTTTACTATTAATTTTACTAATTTTACGGGAAATCGGGAGTTTGCATCTCGAAAACCCACCGGTTGGACCCAGAAATTACCGCTTTACTGATTTCGCGCGAAATCCAGAGAAAATTCCTCCCTGTCTCTTTACTTTTAATAGGATTTCCTCCACAGGCTCAGCAGTTTGCATCTCGAAAACCCACCTGTGCCGGTCCGACCCAGATTTTACTATTTTACTATTTTATTATTTTACTATTTTACTATTTTACTAATTGTTCGGGAAATCGGGAGTTTGCATCTCGAAAACCCACCTGTGCCGGTTGGACAGATTTCTACCACTTTTGGGATAGTACTACGCTGTCAGGAGCAAGCCTGCATGTCTGTCGCTGGATGAGATTCAGGTCCAAGCAGCCCAGCAAGTTTGCATCTCGAAAACCTACCTTTGCATGTCGGACCCCAAGAAAGTTTGCATCTCGAAAACCCAAGCTTGCATGTCGGACCCCCAATTTGCATGTCGGACAGAGGGATCCCTTCGCCGCCTCGTTGCCCGCACATTGGCCAAGGCCTGGGGAGCCACGCTCGACCAAGCTACACGTCCTTTCCAATAGCACTTCAGTCGCGGGCGGGGATAGATGCTGTGGTCGCCGCGGTCCGGGCTGCACTGGACGGGCGACCTGATGCCGTGGTAGTGTCGGTCGCTGGGTGCAGCGCCTACGACAGACAGCATTTGAGGGGACCCATTGGCCGAATCATTGGCCCCCGCACTTTTCGCCCTAGGCCAGCACAACGCCCTCGCCAGAGCCGCAAGCGGTTTGCACCCGTCCGACAACCTTCTGGCCTTCTTGGACGACCGTCGTCACGGTGGCTACGCGCGCGCGGCCCGCACTGGACCAGGTGGTGGGGACCGTGGAAGCGGATTGCCCGGATTGCGGGATCGCCTCCAACCTCGGGCCCTGCACCAGCCCAGAACAACTAGGCGCGGACGTGTGGCGGGGAAACCGGCCCACGCATGTGCGTGGCATGGTCGTGTTGGGGTCTCCCGTCGGCCATCCCGACTTCGTGCAAGCGTGGGCTGTCGCGAAAATGGCCGAGGAACGGGAGTTCCTGCAACACCTGCCCCAGCTCTCCATTTGCAGTGTGCATGGCTGCTGCTCGCCTTATGCGCCTCCCCGCGCGAACCACGCCTTGGGCTGCCTACGCCGCAGCGCACGACCAAGCCGTGTGGGGCACTCTCCGAATGCCTGGAAGGTGATGGGGGCGAGGACGCGGACGAGCAGTTCGCATGCGAATTAGCCTGCCTACCAGCATCCCTCGGTGGCCTAGGCCTCGCGTCAGCAGGGCGCGTGGCCCCCGCAGCGTATTGGGCGGCGTGGGCGGATGCTCTCCCGGTCATGGCGGCCCGTCTTCCGGCTTTCGCGACGGCCTGCGTCGCTGCGCTCCAACAAGGGGGCGCAGGCGCCGCGTGTTTGAGCCACGCTGCGAGCGCCCGCACGCTGCTATTGACCGAGGGCTGGGACGCGTGTCCCATGGACCGCAGTTGCCGGGGGCCTGCGGCCGGACGCGGAGGCGGATACAGGACTTGGCGCATGGCCGCACGGCTGGTAGCTTCATGCGTCGCGCACTCGCAACTCTTGCTACCGCGACCGCGTGATGCTGCCGTCGTTGACACCGGACCGCTCCCAGTTAGCCCCGCACGCTGGCGCGTGGCTGACGGCCATGCCAGGCGAGCCGGCCACGACGTGGTTCCCGCCCGTCATGCAGGTGGCCCTGCGCAGGCGCTTGCGCCTTCCCCTGCCCATCACCACTCGCCATTGCGGCTCGCACGGATGCGGCGGAAGCGTGGACGCGTATGGCGACCACGCCTTGAAAAGCCGAATCATTACTACAGCCCACATTGACGGACCCATCTACATCAATGTTAACGACAACATGGTCGAGGTATTGACTGCAGGCGACGTTCACAAATACTTAAATACTTGGGACGACATATCAGTGCAGATCCTCGATGCCGCAGTCAGACAGAAGTCAAACATAGGTTCCAAGTGGGATGGGCAAAGTTTCGGAAACACCGTCATATTCTTACAAACAAACCTGTGTCCATCGCATTGAGATTGAAAGTATTGACTCCAACCGTTCTGTTTGGATTACGCGTATTGCCGTTGACTCTGTCACAAATTCATGCACTGGATGCATTGAAACGACGAATGCTTCGCTCTGTGGTTGGCTGGGTGCGAGTTGCAAACGAAGATTGGCGCAGTACTATGCGTCGGATGAAACACAGACTGACTGCAGCGTTACACATACACCCTGTGGACACCCGGTCTCGCCAGCTTGCACGACGTCAGTACAACTTCGCTTTCCAAATGTTGCGAATTCCCAATTGGGCCGCGGCTGTTGTCAAATGGTGTCCAGAAACCCACTGGCAAGCAAATTTTGCTTTACAACATCGTCGACCCGGTCGCCCGCTAACGAAGTGGGATGATCGACTCCGAGTTTTGCAGCCTGTAATTTTCCAGCGGTTAATACGTGGACTGATATTGCTGAAACAGCAAATTGGCCGCCCGCTGCAAGCCAGTACGTACAAAGCTTTGCGAATATATAGACCGAATCGTGCCAACACGCAAGCACGCCCCCATTCCCCTGAAATTTCATCTCGTAAGCGCAATTTCACGGTGCCCATGCGCGTGGAAAGTTGATCCACACCACACATGGTACTTTCGTCGAAGAGTTTTCAAACGATCTGAATGACAAGCCTCTAAGTGTGCAAGTTGCTTCACCGTATCGCTGCAAGAGGTAATCGCGCATACAGCATGCAGCAGAAGCCCTCAGCACCACGCTTTTTCCTAGGGCGGCTCTTTGCATGTCCAATTGAATAGCTTCTCCCCCCTGCCTAAGAAGACGCAGGCTTCATGTGGGTTTCGACATCGACAAAAGTGTTGATGCACATAAGGCAAGTCAGAGAAGCTGAGGCATTCTTTGGCCTGGCGCACATCAGCATCATGTTCAGAGTTGTAGGGGTGCCCCTAGTGGGCCCCGAATCCCCGGCAAACAAACCCCTGAGCAGGTCAGTGTCCGTAGCTTAGGGTTTGTAGCAATTGCAGTGGTCAGTAGTCGATTGGCTGTTTTGCACAACTTTTTGGGCTGAAGCAGCAGAGGGCCTCGAGCATGATCCATGCTTGAACACCCCTGATGGCTGCATCGCCCCATCGATAGAGCCACCAGCCGCCCCACTCATCAATCCAATCCTCGGCAATCACGTACCATCGCAGTAGTCCGATACCGAACTTCTTGTGCAAACTCCCAAAACACTGAGAGGCTGGCGGTGAACCTTCGCAAAGCATCGGTTCGAAAACTGATGATGTCCAACAGCAAGAAGTCTGTGAGAGGTACTTTGCCTTTCCATGTCGGGGTCCCGAATGGAAGGACTTGTCCCCGATCCAAACCGGAGGTAACAGTCAGCAGCCGCTCGTAGTACTGGCTTTTTTCAGGTGGATCAAATCCCTCGGCAAATGCGCGAGCTTGGATTGGCACTCCTCCCTCCTGCAGCGTCAGGGATGACAGCCGCAGCTTTGTTGATGTTGTTTTGGATGCATAAGACCGCTCCTACTTCCGAGGGGGGCGCAAAGACAAATTGGAAGCACCACTGCGAAGGTCTCAGCAGTGCAGAAGAAGGAACTGACACAACGCACTTCTTTGGAAGCTATCCTTAGTATCCTTAGCCTTGGCCATCCTTGGCCGTTAGCCTTAGCTTATTTTCTCTCCTCTTCCTCCAGGGCCGCAGGCGGCCGGCCCTTGCTCCCTCCGAGCTCCGTGGCTTCGAAGAGCAGCGCGGCATCGAACAAATACTTGATCAGCGGCGCATCCTCCATGCCAGTGTGTGTGTAACCGAAAATGGCACCAGCTGCCCGCATCTCTTTCGCAAAATCATTCGGTACCTGGTCCGTGAAATAGGAGTCTGAGTCCATCCACAACATCCACCGGAATCCCTGAAGGGCCGGCTGATCAAGGACATACGTCGCCTTGAACCTGCACATCAGCCGGTATCCCGCACGAATGTCTGCTTCTTGTAACCTGTCCGGACCCTGCGGCAGCTTCTCTGGCTGGCGGAAGTATCGATCTATGTTTGCGAACCACACTCGGTTTTGAGATGCGTTCCGAATCAACGCAACTTCATGTTGTGTAAGATTTTGGTGAAACACCAAGACGGGGTGATCCCACTTCCAGTTAAAGTGCTCCCACCAGTTGGGCAACGCAAATAGCAATTCCTCAATTCGACCACCAGAAGCCAGCGTGACCAATATGGTGGCATCTCGTTCTCTGTTCTCTGCGCTGCCTGACAAGACATTGGGCTCATGAAACACGACACACCACTTCGGCTGGCGAGTACACCCTGGTGGTAATCCCACCGCTTGGCACTGACTTTGGACACCTGCCTTCTCTAGACGCACGGGGTGGGTCAGGCCGATCGCAAGCCGTGCCCCGCCATGGGGGGAAGCATTCCTCCAAGCCACACGTTGTTGAAAAAAGGCTCTACTCTATTGCCACGTATCAGCATCGCAGGCCCAGGCAAGCAAGGCAGGCTCCAAACCCGAAAGCCGACCACAGCCAAGCCGCGCACAGGCCCTCTTCTGCAAGGCAGTGTCCGCGAGAGCCAACTGCATGCTGGCCTGCATGGCAAGACCCTTTGTTCACACGTGGCAACCTCCCAATCACCTGCATGCAAGGGCCTTATCAAACTACAGAGGTCCCCACAATGTGCACACATTTAATTCGGACAGAAAATAATCCCAAACACATCACATAACTTCACTGAAGTTCGTTCAACCACGCTGTACGATGAACCCCCAACCCATCCCACGCCCAATTCCGAACTCCTGGGTTCTTGTTTCAACCTGTAGCTATATTTGGCTCCAGCTCTGGTCAAAAATACACATCTTGCTTCCTGCCAAAACTCGAAATAAAACCAAGTACAGCATCAAAAACATCTTCAAATAATACAATCGAAGCCCGAAACTCAAACATAAAACGCCACAAGAATCTTCCAGAACATCGGCCCTGCTATTTCGCTTTGTGCGCTGTGCTCGCAATCGCTCCCCCAACGGCTTGGAGAGTTGCGATGGCGCTGGTTGATTGGCTGTGAGACTGAGATTTGACTTTGATGGTTGCCCTCACGGTACTGCGCTGCACGTCCACGGTGTAGTGCCCGTAGTATTTAGGTTCCGTGTATGCAGTATGCATCATTACGCATTTTTGGTGGGCCGGATTTCTTCCCTCTCCCCTCGTCGAGCGCAACCGCCCACTCGTTTGCTTCCTCCTCCTTCTGTGCCTCTGTGCCGCCGCAGCGGCCCCGTTCTCCCGGCGCCGTCGGTTTCTTGCTTTTTCCCGCTGTCCGGCAAGCAGTCTTTTTTTGCCTCAATGGGTTTGTGATTGGCTTCTGCTTCCGTTTGGCACAACTCTCTTCTCGCGCTCTCTCTCTCTCTCTCCCATCTCGAAGAGGACCCCTCTCGCTATCACGATCATTGTAAAGATCACAAAGCTTTGGGTTGTCAGCTGCGTGCTCGTGTTCCCAGTTCGTAGATCAGAGCGAAATGCTCGCCCAAGAAAAGTTCTCATGTTGTAAGGATCCCACGGCCGGGCGAATGTGGCCAGGATGCTGGCTCAAACACCTGCAGCAAGTCTTTCGTCAGTTCTGCTGGTGTGTTCGTGAGTTCACCCCCCCCCCCCCACCTGGTGCGGAATAGCAGAATGACACTGCGGCATGCCATCAACGTAGAAATGCCTTCAGGCAGTCTGTTGTGCATGTTCGTGCAGCGGATGCAATAAGACCTCTTGGGGTCGCTGCGTCTTCAGGAACTTGGGCTTCTCCAACATCTCCAACGATACTTCGGGTAAGCCCATGTCCTTAAGAGGCTTTTGGACACGTCACAATGCTCTCATTGCCGGTCCAAACTGTGTTTGATCTTGCTGCTCCTGCTGCTGTTAATGATATGACATCCTGCGACTTTCTTGAGCAGGTGAAGGCACCACGTAATCCTCGCACGGCCAACTGGACTCGGCCAGAAACTCCACCTGCTAGCTCGCACAACGGGAATGGGCTGACGGACTCTTGTCGGATTTGGTGGGAGGGTGCAAGACTTGCTCTGCCCAGGTGCCTCCGTGAGCTGCTTTTTCTCCAGGGGCATCAGCTGCAGCGTTGCCGGTGAGCAGCTGGCCCCACGGTGCCAGAGTGCCGATAGCGGAGCGCAGGCTTCCCCACTGGCAATCGGCGTGCAGTAGCGGCCTGCCTTTGCCCACCGAGATCTGGAGCACTCATGGTACATTTCACTTACTGTCAATGTCGCACAAAATCTGAAAAATTAAAAATGGTGAAATACAGAGGTCCGACAGCTCTCGGTTCGTTGCTGCAGTTAAGGCACGATCGATCTTTCTGCGAAAATCGCCCGAGTTCCGTCCACAAACAGTAAAACGAAACGCGGAGCCATGAGATCCACGGCACTTTGCAAAGAACACTGCGTCAAAAATAGAAGACGCTGCAGCTTGTGCCTGTCGAAAGACTTCAGATCAGCCAGGCCTTTCCGCTGCGCGAGGGTACTGGCAAAGTCTGGCATCACGCGTGTCGGCGGCGCATAGAGCGGGTTTATAGGAACAATCACCAGGCGCACGCTACTTCGGACAGGCGGAATCATCTCTGCCGCGTCAAAGCAATTCCCACCTTGGGGCGAAACCAAGAGTACGTCAGCAGTTCTGGGCAGCATCGCGGTCCGACCACCCTTAGCTTAGCTTGCTGCGACACCGACATACCGTTCCAAGACGATGCAGGTTGCTGAGCATGAGTTGACTACAATTATAATATTGCATGCAAGGTGCACGCCGTGGGCTTCGCACGATCTTGCCAAACTTGAAGCTTGTCACCTTGCCTTCCTTGTCCCAGTCTAAGCGGAAGGTCTCGTTCACGACCGTCCCTGGGATGCGGCCTTGTTCTGCACTGACAGCCGAGAAATTATCCAAGCCGTCCACCATGGACACCACATCCCAGCCACCAGAGTCTTGCAAGCATTGGACTGGGTCTTGCATCAAAAGCATGCCAGGATTCACTGCACATCCTTCCTCAATGAGCCGGACGCTGGGGGATGGTCGCAGAACCACTGCCAAGTGTGAGCTTTCGCCGAGTTTGCTCAAGAGTGGACGCAGCCAGTGCTCACTGTTGTGGGACCACACACCCTCCCACCAAAAAGCACCTTCGTAGTCATCCGAGATGCAATGGGGTAACCTCGACAGATTTCCCCGAATGCGGAGCAGAAAAGCTACCGTCTCTTTGTTTGCGCGAGATGTTTGGAAGTGTCCGCGAGTGTTGCACACGATGTGCAGTCGATGAGGTTTCTGAGTGCGTCATCTTCGTCTTTTTTGGAGCCTTGTGCTGTTTCCAAGCCTCAAGAGTGGGCGCAGTTACGAGGATGAGGCACCTCGGGTGAGTCATGCTTGCAAAGGGCTTCGTTTTCGTCCACGCATCAAGCATGCAGCCGGTTGCGAAGACGAGGCATGCTGGGCACATCCTCGTACTGTCACGTTTAAGGCTCCGTTTCTTCGTCGATGTGTCAAAAGTGCTACAGTATGCTACAGTAACAGTTACGAGGACGAGGCACACCCAGGTGTTCCATCCTCGTAACTGTCGCTTTTGGAGCTTCGTTTTGGGTCGACGCATCAAACGCGCTGACAAGCACGGGGATAAGGCACCCGTGTGCGCCATCCTCGTAACTGTCATCACTTTGGGGGCTTGATTCTGCTTTGAATCTCAACGGAAGTCTTGCAGGACCATGCAGGTTTTTTGGCTGGGTGCCACGACTCCTCTAGGTGGAAGCAGTCATGAGAATGCTTTGAAACCAGACCGTGGGAACCACAGGTACAAACCCGGGGCATCGCAAGCAAAACATCCCTGCGCTCAATCGTTTCTATCAGGAGGTCATCTATCAGGAGGTCATGATGAGATACAAAGGTTTTTTCAACGAGTGGCAGTGGTCCGGATCAGCGAGGCGAGAGAAAGAGACAGAGAAAGGGAGAGACATAGATAAGACGAATCAATTCGGGTCTCGTGTCGAACGTTGCGTTCGCTGTGTTCGCCGTGTACGTGACGGCTGTCGTCATTCACCCCTATCAGGCTTGAGCTTCCAAGAAACACCAGCGGGTCCTGCCTCTCAGCTGTGACCAAAGGAAGCCTTTGGAAGTTTCGAGGATAGAGAACCGAGATCTTCGCGCCCTGGAACCCCCCTTGCGAACCCCATTTCGGGGGGACTTCAGAGCACCTAGAGACTGGGACTCGCAGACCAAGGAGCTCCCCCTGTTTTGGTCAGGACAGGCCATGGCCTACAACGTGGACTTGAAATTAGGATGGATTCGGAATTGGTGGACAGTACTGCAGTAAGTGCCGCACACGAGTCTCGGCGGCCTTCCGCTCATCCAATTCGTTCCCAACCTGTCATGGACTGAACATGGGAAAGACATGAAAAGGCTATGCGACAAAACGCACATCATTGCACATCTGAGGCGAGCAGCTCAGGAAGCGAAGCTGCCAGGTGCGACAAGGAGAGCATGGAGGCTTGAAAAGCGGGCTCTGCCGTGACACCAGCATAGGTCCTGCTGATCTCAGCAATGTACATTGAACGCTTGGCCACTTGCGCCCAGAGCTGTGGCGGCGTCAAGTCCGGGCTAGGGACTTGATCGCCAAACAAGAATGGGCTAATGGTCTCCACAGCATCGGGATCCAGCTTGCAGACCCTTCCGCGCACAAATGGTTGCAGGGACTCCGGAAATTCCTCTTGACATGAACACTCGCCACCTGCCAGAGCACTGTGCAGGCTTCGAGATGCAATGTACCACGTGCTGAAGAGGATCATCCGCTTTGGCAGGTCCTTCAGACCCAGGGGGATATTGTTCGTGATCACAGCCACGAGATCCTCATATGCACTGATCAGGTCATAGTCGGCTATTCCAGGCAGCTTGTGATAGTGTTTCTGCTCCACATCTTTACTGGCGAGAGCAGCCAGGCAAGTGAGCAAAACCACAGCTTTCGGAATCATCCCAGACTTCGAGAACTTCGTGACCAGTCGTTCATAGCCGATAAGGCATGCATGACGGACTCCATTCTCCGGCAGACTGCTAATCTCCCGATTAGCAGCATCTTCTTAGCTAGGCTTGGGTGCAATGCATGCGCATGACACTCTGTGACCGTTAGCCTCAGATTTCTTATGCGTGTACTGCTCAGGTGGCGCAGCAGCTGCACTGCAGATCCCTTTAGAATGCCACGCATGACAAACACTAAGAGCAGCCTGAGGGCAGATTGCTATTTGCCACGCGCGGTGATCTGTGAACGTTCAGCTCCCACTTTGGGGTAGCAAAGGGTCGCCGCTTCAAGCGGTGAGGGGCATCAGACGGCTAAGATTCAGCCTCTGCCAAAAGCAGAGCTGGCACAGCAAATCAGAGCCGGCTTTCTGACGTATGCGATCTTGAGTACTTCTGAGTACTTGAGTTACTTGAAGACAGGATGTGTCAGATTTCTGTATGCAGCTCGCCGGCAATCCATGCTATCTTTCATCTGGAATGAATCCTGAACACTTCAGCGACATTCGTAGATCAGGAAGCCGCGTCACCGAAATCCTTGGCAGGTGCCTTGGCGTTCCCCAAGGCATCCCGAAACACAAACATTCGGCAGGAACGAAGGTGGGATCCGCGCGCCCTGCAGCCTTGTCTTGCAAGTCACATCAAGCTTGGCCACCACCTCAGCATGAAGAGCGATCAAAGCGCGATCGAAAAGTGAACCAAACAAAGCAGGCGCCTTCTGAACGCGTACTGCCACCTTCTCGACTTGCTCTGGAGGAGGGCTTGCCTTTCACTTTCCAGAAGTCGGAGAAGCGATGGCGCGGTGCTTAGTTTGTCGGCTTCTTTTCTTTGCATTTTCTTTGCGCTTTCTCTGCTCTGTGACCTCGGGTGACCTCCAATTTGCTCCAGGCCTCGGCTTGCCAAAGCCGCGCCCAGTTCTCGATGTTCCTTAGCGACTAGCGATGAGAGCAACCTCGAACAACACCAATCAACCAATGAGCCAAAAAACAAACCACATAATATGTAGCTACACACATACATATTTTTGCTACCCCCCCCCCCCATGTACCTACCATTTTTGGGCTGAACCCATACCTGCTACCCTCTTGACCGCTTAATTTCCGGTCGTGCCAAAATAACTAGGTTTTCTTGGGGCAGCAGCAAAAAACGATCGCACCTGGAAATGCTCACAAAAAGTACGGTCATTTTATGCTGTTTATGGTTATTTTGTGCTTTTTTACGGTTATTTTACGCTTGTTTACGGCCGCCAGGTGGCTGCTTGCAAAATACGGGCGCAAGACCCTTTTTTCTGTGGAACCTCACGAAAAACCAGGTTTTTCGATTTTCCCGCTTTATTTGTGGTCGTTTGCGGTTGCAGGTAGAATATCCTGTATTTCTCCCCATCTCTCCCCTCCCCCCAAGATCCCGCAACGCGCGGTCGTTTTGTTGTTTTTGGGGCCAGGGGGGGGGGGGGGGTCCGTAAGATGGACACTTAAAGGCTATGCTGCACGTGCGTGCCTTGTAAACAAAGACTTTACAAAGGAAACGCCCGCAGAATAGACGCAACGCACCCGCAGAATAGACGCAATGCACCCTTATAGCATCAGCACGCACACTGTGTCCCGGGCGGGGGCGCGGAGGGCGCGGAGGGCGCGCAGGGCGCGGAGTGCGCGGAGGGCGCGGAGGGCGCGGAAGTGCGCGGAGGGCGCGGAGCGCGCGGAGGGCGCGGAGGGGCGGAGGGCGCGGAGGGCGCGGAGGGCGCGGAGGGCGCGGAGGGTCGCGGAGGGCGCGGAGGCGCGGAGGGGCGCGGAGGGCGCGGAGCGCGCGGAGGGCGCGGAGGGCGCGGAGGGGCGCGGAGGGCGCGGAGGGCGCGGAGGGCGCGGAGGGCGCGGAGGGCGCGGAGGGCCGCGAAGGGCGCGGAAGGCGCGGAGGTGCGGAGTGCGCGGAGGGCGCGGAGCGCGCGGAGGCGCGGAGAGCGCGGAGGGCGCGGAGGGCGCGGAGGGCACGGAGGGCGCGCGGAGAGCGCGGAGGGCGCGGAGGGTGCGGAGGGCGCGGAGGACGCGGAGGGCGCTGAAGGCGCGGATCGGCGCGGAGGGCGCGGCGGGTACGGCGGGCGCGGAGCACGCGCAGGGCTCGGAGGGGCGTCCACGTGTCCCCACTCCCTTGCCCATCAACCGAATGTCACGCTCCCCATCCGTGCTCCCTCCCCGAACCTGTCCGTCAACCTCCAGGCATGGTCCACGCCTCCCCTTCTCCCAGCAAAATGTTCCGAACCCCCTTCCTTGACCGTGTCGTCTCCGCGGCCTCCCGTCAAAATGTTGACCGTCTCCTCTTCGTGGCTTCTTTCGCCAAAAAGGGATCCGATAGAACGCTTTCCGCGTTGAAGCGCCAAACGAGAACCCAAGAACAGAATTGGTTTTCGGGAAGAATCCAAGAAAACAAAGAGCACGCGCAGAATAGACGTTAAGCGTCCAAGGCACGGGGGGGGTCCTCTTCAGTTGAATAGGATTCCTATGAGGATTTTCATTAATTTGTGAGGGGCCTCAAATTCATTTTAAGAGGCTTCCTATTGACTTTACGGCTCCGATTAATTTAAAATAGGGTTCCTATGGATTTAGATAGAGGATTCCCATTCTTGTTTCTTGGATTCCATAGAGTTGTCCCATTTGTTTTAGTATGGCTCCTACAGCAATTTTAGTGAGTTTTTCCATTTGAAGAGGGCTCCTATTTGAATTTATTAGTATTAAGGGTTCTCATTCATTTTCAAGGGTTTCCTATTCATTTCAATAAGAATCCAGATTAAAAATGAATGAATCCTATGAACCCTATTAATTAAATTTGATCGGAACCCTATTCGAATGAATAGGATTCCTATTTAAATTCACAGCATGCAATCCACGAGCAAACTGTTCAGGTCACTTCTGCTGGACATAAACAATAATGTGAACCTTTAGCAAAATAATAGGAATCCGATAAAAATGAACATGAGCCTAAACCAATAGGAATCCCTTGAAAGTGAATGAGATCCCTTTTAATATCAACACGAACCCCATTAACATGAACAAGAATCTGATTAAAATTGAAAGGACTCTTACTACAAAAACCAGGAGCCTTAATAATAATTAGGAACCCCCTGAAACTTCATTGGAATCCTATGAAAATAAATTTGAATCCTCTATCGAATTATCGGAACCGGGCAACAGTTAATATGAAGCAATCATGTTAGAATGAATAGGAACCCTTAACAAATTAAACAGAACCCGGGTTACAATTCACAGGAATCCTATTAAAACGGGCCCCCCACACTAAAGGAGGTGCCACATTATGACTAACATGAATGAACCTCATAGATATGCTTTAATTTGGAAATATTGTGAAATCATGAGGACTGGGACAACCGAAGTGGTGAGATGAGCTCTTGTGCTCGAAACGAAAATCCCTCTACTCATGTGGGTGGGAGGGAGTGGGTGTGGGGGTGGGAGGGTGGGTGGGAGGGTGGGTGGGAGGGGTGGGAGGGGTGGGAGGGGTGGGAGGGTGGGTGGGGGGTGGGGGAGGTGAGGAGTTGGGAGGTGAGGAGGTGTGGGGGGTGAGGTGGGGGAGGTGGGGGGGAGGTGGGGGGGAGGGGGGGAGGTGGGGGGGGAGGTGGGGGGGAGGTGGGGGGGAGGTGGGGGGGAGGTGGGGGGGAGGTGGGGAGGTGGGGGATGGACATTTCGAGTACTAGAACTGACCTCAAACGACGAATCGTCTTCGAAGATAGTTTGCAACTTGGGAGGATTCATAGAACTATGTATATGAGAAGCATGCATATTTATACGTTCAACTCGTCTCTTCTTTTTCTGTTTTGCTTTGCACAAAAAAGGGTCTACTACATTTTGAGCTGTTTGCCCTTGACTTTCCTCCGCCAAGTGTCTGAGACGTGTTGGCAGCAAGATCATCGAGGCCCGGGAAGATGGACACTAGAGCCTTTACATAAAGCAAGAGCAAGATGCATAAAGCAACAAGATGCATACAGTGCTCTACAAAGCAGGTGCTGGCATCTCACTGCACTCTATCTGCCAACGGCACCCCCAAGAACCACCTGGACTGGCAGTGGACCATGGCTGGCTTTTGTAGCTGTGCTTCGAAACGCTGTCAAAAACGCTACTGGAGGCTTTTCCGCTCGCAACCGTCCATGCTCCAACTTTAGACCCCTGGATGCCCCTTCTCCCTCCGGGGTTGGGGTTGAAGGTCCCAGACCCTTAAAGAGGTCAACGGCTGCTGGTTCTGGAGATGCACACCACATTCCACGGCCCTAACGCCATGGGCGCCTCAATGAATGGGGCGATCATGAACTCGATGAAGCCGATCTGCGAGTTGGCCCTGAAACACGTGCGCTGGAGGGCAGTTGTGAGCCGGAGGAAGAGAACGGCATGCGCGCAATCTAGTTGCTAGTCCGAGCCTGTTCACTTTGTCACGATCATTCAGCATGCCCACAGGGATTTCCAGCTCCTTCTCCCGGTCACCCTGCGCAAAGAACTCGTCCATGCCTGCAAGAAGCACGGTGGCTCCCCACCCGTTGGATCCGGCGAGGGGACGGCGCAGCTTGTTCTGCACGAATACTCAGCAACTGCCGAGGGACAAAGGTACGCCAGCTTCTTGGCGACGTGCCACGGCTTAGCTGGATTGTTCACCTCGGGGATGGGAAATACATTGCTGCTGTGCTGCTGGCACTGGTGCTTGCCAGGGCACATCCGCTGAATGCAGGAGGCCATTCATCAAGCCGCTGCGGTTGGATTGAAGCAACTCCCGCACCTTTGCCAGGGTGCTGTCACGATGCCCCAGTGGATCCACGTGGGCCTCGTGTGGCATGTGTTGCAGGCTGAGCGTGTCCGAGTTCATCTGGTAGAAAAGTGCCAGATCCTGCAGAAGAAAGACAACGCTGTATCGCATGTGTCACATCGTTGCTTCCCCTGCCACAGGTCCTTGACCATCTCATTGTGCTTAGTCACATCTGTGTGCAAGATTGCCTGCAAGTGCAAGCAAGACCGTTCGGACGATGACCTGACAATGCGCTCCCGGCCTCAATCAAGTCTTTGCGCAGTTCCTTGTAGGTCTCCTTTGGTGCAATCGTAGTACGTCATATACTTGCCCACAGACAATATTTTTGGACCGCTATGTCACGGTGAGGGGGCCTTGTCCAGGGCATAGAAGACGTTCGTGTCGGGCTCCCGAAGAATATGAAAGAGCTTTGCGCAATGCATGTTTTCCAGCGGTGATCTGTCGTTGTAGGTGACCGCCACTTCGTGTCGTGTCCTGACCACATTCAGCCAATGCAGCTGAGAGAATCCACTGCGAAACTGGGGGCGGCGCTCCACCAGGAAAGGGTTGTTCAACCCAGGATGCCCAAGATCATGCCCCACTGCCGCCACAAGCAGCCCAAACCTCACGAAGATTCACGAACACGGGTACGGTGAGAAGCAAGCCTAGTGGACATACCGGAACGCGTGCCAAGATTGTTAAGACGGGAGTCTGCTCGACGTTGGTCAAAAACAACGGCGCCTGACTCGCAACCATCAGAGGGAAGGAACAAGCCGAGGCTTACGTGGCTTTACACAGCACTCCCCACCTGGGTCTGTTCCATTTGAAGAGACAGGGTGCACAAGACATCCAAGCTGTGCCCAAAGTTGTGGAAGGGGACGGGCGAGTAGTTCCTCGGGCTTAGACGCTTAGACCGCAACATTGCGGGCTTTGAGCTCGACAGAACGAAAGAGAAATAGATGATGAAACAAAATTAGATAACAGATGTTTTTCAAGGTTCGCTTCTGCTGTGTCCACGAAGTGAAGCAAGGTGGTGGGATTGATCGAGCCGCGCACAAAATCCTCAAGAATCTTAAGGTGCGAACTTCAATCACAAGTCACTTCTGGAGGTCCTTGCACCCCGGATTGTCGAGCAAGTGGATGGCACACAGCGCCTCGCAAAGCTTCAGGCATCGGCCAGACGCTGGGGGGGTCTAGAACTGCCGGAGATTGTCACACGTCGGCACTGACGGGAACTTGGCGCCCGATGCTTCTCGAGTTGCCCGGCCTTCTTCTGGCTCGAGGTCGGTTCCATGGGATTGAAGTCCTCAGTCCTGCTAAGCACTTCCTTCAGACCGCTCATGTCATTGTAATTCGAAGCGATTATACACTTGTAACCGAGTAAACTCGTAAACCAACTTAGCTTAGCAGTACGATGCTGGTACGACACATTTGGCATCCCCGAATGTTAA